TAAATCATGGGGTAATTTTCATTTTTGGGTGAACTATCCCTTTAGGCCAAAGACTGATTGTTTCTCCTTCAGTATCGAATAGAGTTTCATACTGGACAGAGCAGTGTGTGTTTAACAATCTGTCATCACGTCTGTCCTCCTGCTCTGCAGTTTTCCAGACTTCCGGAACATTCTTCAGGAGAGAGAGACTTCTAAAACCCTTTTAATTCACACCATTACAGAGCTAATATACAAAACACACACAATGGGGAGGAATCAAACTAAACAAAACCCAAGGCTATCAAAAGTCTTATTATCATTACAATATGAGAATTAAAATGACAGGTAATAATAGATTATGATTGAATGTTTACGACCCTGTCCGCCAACCTCTATATGTTTAAATATGTATCTGTATCTCTGTTTTCTCTAGACATGTTCACTTCTGTATTGAAACGCTAATGCTAGATCTCTCCCTCGGCTTCGCCATCAGTGACAGGTGATAGCTATTCTCTATTCCACTTCACATGTCCAACTTTCTATTTGGAAAATGGCAACAGACCTCTGCCTTAAATTTAAAATGATTGGAAAATCGTATTGAAATTCACAACCATAAGACAAAAACACATTTTTTGTTTAAATAATACATGTGTACAAGTGATTTGTGAAGGATCATGTGACACTGAAGACTGGAGTAATGATGATAAATTCAGCTTTGATCACAGCAATAAATTACACTTTTTTACATTATAACAATATTTCACTGTTTTTATTATACCGAAGTGTAATGCGAGTCATCATCTGTTTATTGCTGAAAGTTATGCGGGAAAATCCGATATCTATCTTTAGAGACTATATAATAAATAGCTTGACTGAGTTATGAGTGAATTACTGCTTTAATATCTGGCAACCCTCACACCTGACATTAGATTCACCTTTCTGTCCGTCCTCTCTTTCATGTTTCTCTCTCTGGTTTCATGTAAATGTGTGTTTTCTCATGTTAATGGCTAATGAAAGCGGTGTTTCTGATAAATGGCTTTACTCTGAACACCTGCACACAACACACATCTAATGGCATTCAAATGCTCACGTCTCTATTATTCGGTGCTTCTCTTTTCTTTCTGTATAATCTCTCTCTCTCTCACACACACACTGACCTGTCGCTCTGATCAGTGGGGGTTAAATGTGTTTTTCTTCTCTGAATGTTACTGCACACACACACACACACACACACACACTACAATAACTACAATCAAAGGTGTCGCCTCGTTTCAATCGCATTATCATCACACCCATTTCAATGCCAAGTACACTAAGCCTGTGTGTGAGGTCTGAATAATGAGCAGATATTATAATTAATAAAATAAATCCCTGAATACACGTAGAGCTTCATTTCTACACTCTTATCTTTTAAATACTTTCTGCAGGGAATTAACACACAAACACACACTGAATAATGCAATTCCACACGTGTTCGTCACTCTCCTCCACACACAGATATGCTGAAGCGTGACAGACAGATTATCGGTGATATTTTCACAGCGTTACCATAGTAACGGACTACCGTCGCTGTTTATAATCTATAGATCGAGTTTCTGAATGACTCACTGCTGCGAGTCTCGGTGATTTACACAACCTCCTTCTTCAGGAGCCAAATCTGTGCACGGTTGAATATTTCTATGTTGAAATTAGCATCTTGATAGATGATATGTTGAAAGTAAAAATATACTGTAAATAAATTGGCGTAAGATTGGCTCTGAAACAATTTTTACTCAAATATTTACAAAGAAACTGAAGTGAAGATGAAATTTTGAAGTAAAAAGACTAGGGCTGGGAAACGATTAATCGCGATTAATCGCATCCAAAAAAAAAAGTTTGTGTTTACATGTGTGTAGTGTGTATAATTATTTTGTATATATAAATACACACGCATGCATGAAAAATGTGTTATTAATATATCAAATATTTATATTTATGTATAATATAAATTGTGAATAAATATATATAAAGTATATACATGCAAATATTTCTTAAATGTTTACATGCATGTGTGTGTATTTATATATACAAAATAATTATACACACTGCACACATATATATTATGTAAACACAAACTTTTATTTTGGATGCGATTAATCGCGATTAATCGTTTCCCAGCCCTAAAAAAAGACTCTTTTTTTTTTTGTTGAAAAATGCAAACTAGAAAAAAATTGTTGTAGAATTTGAATTTTCAAATGAATAAATCAAGGCAGCCACTAACGATATTTCTGTAATCAAGGAATTGTTTGATTATTTTGGCGATTAATCGAGTAATAGGATATTTTTTGGGGATTAAAAAAATAGACCTAAGCGAACAATAGCCTTTAAAATGACTTAAAATACATATACAGAACAAGGATGGATAGTACGCACAATACGACGCAGCTAGAATGTGACTTATTTTAACTTAATAATAATATAATAATAATATAATTTATTTTACAGGACAGTTTAAAGCTCATAACCATATTTTGTTGTTACTTGAAGTACTTAGAGTGCAGTGTTATCTTGCATCATGCAGTATTTGTCATTTTAAGAGTAAATGCCTATTTTATTTGTGTACATTTTAATCATTAACATTAAACGCAACATTAAAAGCTCTTTTTACAACTAAAATAACAGTAAAGGGTAAAAAAAAAAAACCTGAATTCCTAAAAATTTAAACGGAAAAAACGGAATTTGCAAAAATTAAAACGGAAAAAACGGAATTTGGGAAAAAATAAAACGGAATTTGGAAAAAATTAAACGGATTTTATAGGGCCCTAGAACATGTGGGCATGTTAAAAATAAGATATGTTTTATTTTGAACTTTCGATCAAAAAACGATTCCTAACCCTAACGTTACAAATCTGTAACACTGTAAAGCACACATCTGCAGAGCCTGAATTGAGCCACTCGGAGACGCTATATTAGAAAAGAAAATATATTATGATTTTTAAATGGTTTTAGTATATCGTGCATCCTTAGAAAATGGTATAATAATGCGGTTTCTCGTACAGCCCTAGATTAAACACACACGTAAAATGAAGATTACACCATATCCGTGTCCAACTAGTGTGAAGATCATCTTCCTCATATTTACATCACATATTTACACATGAGAGCCACAGATAGAGTCAGTGAGCCACTGCAGGATCAAGTAGTATGTGTGTGTGTGTGTTTATGTGTGTGTGTGTGTGTGTGTGTGTGTATGTGTGTGTGTGTGTGTTTGTGTGTGCATGCATGTGTGTGTGAGTTAGCGACTGCAAGCTCAAGTGTTGAAGACTGACGGATCACACGGATAATCCCGCAGTTTGGATGGGAATTGCTGAGAAGGTTGACGCTCGCCATGAGTGTGTGTGTGTTTGAGTGTGTGTTTGAGTGTGTGTGAGTGAGCGACTGCAAGCTCAAGTGTTGAAGACTGACTGATCACACGGATCTCTGAGAAGGTCAACGCTCCCTAGGAGTGTGTGTGTGTGTGTGTGTTTGTTTGTGAGTTGGTGTCTCACCATTCAGGTAGCTAAGTAAATGTGTGTGTGTGTTTGTCGGTCTCGCTTTATTAAAGCTCCTGCGTGTCATTTCTACGACCAGATCCGAAGGCAACAGCAAAAATAGCTTAATTTTTACATTCTCAATAGAAATGTGATGTTTTTATAAGCAGAACTGTCATGAAATGTCATTGCGTGGCCGTTTCGGTTTAATAATTTGCAGCTCTCTCTCTCTCTATATATATATATATATGATGTAATGCTCAGCACTTTTAAACCGTCTGACACTCGGAACTGGTTTCCCCGGGCAACCAGGAATATAACTGTCAATCACTGCAAGCGGGCAATTAATTAGAGAGGGGGAGAAGTGGGCGGACCTAACTTCAGGGGTGGGGTGCTTTCGATTTGATTGACAACTTGACATCAGAACCATTAGCAGAAATGAAAATATCCACGGTGAAGTGCAGAAGTGACTCTATTTCCAGAATTATGAGAAAAATGGAAGTATGCTAATATAAATATGAACTTACAATTGTAAGAAAAAAGTTTATTTTTATGTTCCGTGGCGGAAACAAGCTTCCATAAGAATTTGAGCACACAAACACAAGAAACTGCTTTGACTTTTACAATATTATGAGGCACGGGAGCAGAGGTCAGAGGTCAGATGTGATTGGCGTGTGTGATCATTCAGACCATTCTGACATTTCTCACACAAGAGGAATCAGTGTGTTCATCAGGGGTGAGAGAGATACAACCACAACATCTGAACATCTCTTCATCTGTCTTCAGAACAACCATATAACACACACACACACACACACACACAAATCATCCTCAAATGCACCTACAAACTTGCTGTGTATTTTGTACTTACATATTTTATCTTGTCTTTTGTGTTCATAAAAATGTTTAAAAAGTTTAAATTATAACATAATTATATATTATATACTGTACAAGTCATAATTATGAGATAAAAAGTCAGAATTGACGTGTCATAATTTAAATTATCATCTATAATTGTAAATTAACATGTCATAATTTCTACATTTTAAGTCACAATTGTTACTTTTTAAGCCATAATTTAAATTTAGTATGTCATACTATCAACTGTCTGACTTTTTAATCTTAAATATCAATTTAGTTTTTCACAATTCTGACTTTTTATATCATAATTTTGACTTTTGTTCAAAAATAATATTGAGTTTTAACGTCATAACTTTCAATTTTTGCATCTCATAATTATGATTTAGTTTTTATTAATTGAAATAAAAACATTAACTTAAATTATTTTAAATTATTATCAAAATTTTAACTTAAGAAACTAATCAGAAATATTTTAAAAACAAAATGACAACAAAATTAGAAAAAAAAAATAATAACAAAAATTATATAACTATAACTAGTTTTCTGTAATTCAATGCCAACGTAAAATATAGTGCTATAATTGTACATTAAAAATAAAAAAGTTACAAAAAGTCACCGCCACAGGTGAGCAGCAGAAGTCCCGCCCCTTACCTGAGCTTCCCCTCCATCGGCACCTCATGGGGCGGATCTTCACAGCGCAGCCGAGACTCCTCCTCCAACAGGTACACGAACACACACTCCTGCACACACACACACAGAGTCAGGGGAAGTTTTGGACATGATTGGGCTTTAAACCCCTCTGGCTGCATGAAGTGATGCTCTATATCCGGCTCTTCAGGACTTCATTCCCAGTTTGACTTTAACATGCTGGCTAAGCCATCCCATCATCACACAGGAAAGTCTAACACTGTTAAAAGAAGAAAAAACTTACTGCCTTAAATGTTTAAGCACAATCAACTTGGATGAAAATAAATCATTAAAAATGTGAAGTTATGACATATTAAATCATAATTGTGAGATACAAATTTGAAATTAGGACCGTCATAACTGAGATAAAAAGTCAAAATTATGACAGTCATAACTATGAGATAAAAAGTTGAAATGATATACTGTAACAACATGATGAGATCATACTAAATCATAATTATATGAGATACAAATTCGAAATGATGATACTAAAGCCAAAATTAAATTAAAATTCATAATTATGAGATAAAAACTCATACTTTCAGCTTCATAAGTGTGACTTTTTAAGGTCATATATCAATTTAGTATTTCATAATATTTTTTTTCAAAGTCGAATTTCGAATTTCGACTTTGTATGCCATAATGACTTTTAATTTATAATGATTTAGTCTCATAATTTCCACTTTTGTGTATTTTCGTGTGTGGACGAGATGGGCTTCCGTACTGTAAGTACGAAACCGAATCGCAGAATGAAATGAGTGTGTGTGAGAGAAATGCTGTCATCTGTTTGAAGTGTCCTTTGAGTGTGTGTGTATCGCCGTTGGAAAAGAATCAATAAAAGGAATAGCACTCAGATATGACTGCGTCAGTGTGTGTGTGTGTGTGTGTGTGTTTTCTCAGCACTCCCAGCAAAAGCCCTCGTGAGACTGCTGCAAATGCAACATCAATAAACCCTACAGGAGAATCTATTTCCCTTAGAACACACTCAGAATGATGATGAAGATCGCAGCCCAGACCTCTGAAGCTGAATCGGAATGAGTTTTGACCCTCCTGTCTCACCGTACACACACACTGAACATCTACACACACACACCGGACATCTAAATCTGATCAGATGATCATGGGCTCTGCTCGTATTTCAGAAATCACATTTTAAGATCTTTTTGAAGACCTGCACAAATAAAATCAATAGTGTATGAATGAGGCGTACAGGATTAAACCGTAAAACGACCAAATAAACACTTTACAGTTTAAATACAGTTTGCACTGTTCCTGTAATAAAGGCTGATGATTACTGTATTTGAGGACCGGAGAAGAGCGTTTTACACAACAGTTGTTCAGACGTTGCATGTAGTCATCTTTTTAATGTAAAAATTTTCATATTTTATTTTTGTGAAAGAAATTAATTATTAAAAATGGATTGTGTGTGTGTGTGTGTGTGTTACCGCACCACGTTTGGCAGGACGACTCTGAGCACATCTTTGATGGTCGTCTGAAGGCTGCTGACATCAACAATGGAGGCCAACTGCAGCAATGCATCCTGGGAAAATAAAACACAGACACGCAGATAAATAAATCGTTTATACCATCTGCGCCGCATTTGAAAGGTCAAAGGTTAATGAATCGTCTGGAAATACAGCTATGATGAGTTTAACCCCAAGCCTCTGGAAATGTCACAGCATTACGGAAATGAATGTTCTCGTTTCCCACTCTCTCACTTTGATGGTTCTGCAGCGCATCTCTCTATGAAGCTGATAGGGGTTTGACCTTTGACCTCCAGCACACTGACCTCGTCAGCACGGCTCATTAGCGCATCCGCATAAGAGAAATCCATAAAGAGAAGACCCATTAACCAGCGACGAGAGCGAGACAAACTGGGCCCTATTTTAACGATCTGAAACGCAAGTGTCGACGGGATAAACGGCGGGATAAACGACTCTTGCGCTCGACGCCAATCTAAAAGGGGTTGGTCTGAAGTGGCTTCATTATTCATAGGTGTGGTTTGGGCGTAACGGGAAATAAACCAATCAGAGCGTCATATCACATTCCCTTTAAGAGCGTGATGAACGCCGAGCGCTTGTTCCGTGGAGCAATACTATTATAACGGCGTCGGCGCATTCACCAGACGCGCTTCAGCATCGGTCCACAGCCGAGGAGATCCCTGTTTTCGTCAGGCCCGTAAAAGAAAGAGAAGGGACATCGCGGATAGGACAAACACACCTAAATTAGCTTTGGTTAAACATGCATATAATAATCTGGGTAAATGTTAGGGGTGTAACGATACACAAAACTGACGGTTCGGTTTTCCCACGGTTTTGACGTCTCGGTTCGATTCGGTTTAGAAAGCTAAAATGGCTTTTTTTTTGCCATTACCAACAGTGGTTTAATGAAAAAAATGGTCTTTGTCTTTAAATTAATTCAATTACAATTAAACATTTCACAAGGATTAAAAAAAAAAATCTGCTATGCAGTGAACTATATAGGGAGCCGCACATTACTATAACATTAAAGGTTGTAGCCTAGCCCTAGACTTTTAACCTAAATTCAGATGGTATTTATTTTTTAGATATAACAATCAACACACAACACATTCATTGTATGAAAACATGTAAGCTGAACATAAGAAAGTTTTTGCATTAACTTGTGTTTTTACTCTAATTTGGTAGCTATTGAAATAAAATATTTACACAGCTGTCATTTTCATGAAAGATATTTTAAACACACATTAAATAATCAAGATATCATGAATAGGTTAAGTAAAATATAATAGAGCATTTATGTAGTGCAAGAGTTCATTTATAGGAAGTTGTGGACACTGAATCACTTGCCTGCTGAGGTAAATAATGCTAGTGACAAGCTGTTTTATTGACGTCTTTCCGCTGCTGAAACACGGATTGAGCGATTACACGAGTTATGATGCCTTTCAGTAAGTATACTGTATCTTTCAACATACCTTCAGATGTCTTTTCTGTCACTGAGGAAAAGATGATCGCGTTTATTCGCGCGCCGCGCTGCCGCTTGAAATGACGAGCCTAACTTAGTTAGCCTACAGCGATCTGTCACGTCACATCAAAGAGCGCCAAAACGCCATTTATTGTTTGAATTTCGTGATCAAATAGACAGAATTTGAAAGATTACACCTTGCTTATTATCGAAAGGAACAAAACACGGAGCTTGTTATTTGGTGTTAATGGTGGTTAGGCTACAAAACTGAGCTCATTGTGTACTGTACATAAGACATGAGGTCCATTGAGCCGGGCTGGGCGGGGCCGGGGTAGCAGGGGGCGGGGCGTGTTCGGTACGCAATGACAGTATCGCGATTCGAATCGTGAGTTCAGTATCACGATTTTTCGGTTCGAACATCGTTACACCCCTAGTAAATGTGTAAGCTTTATGCCTATTTTTCCCATCGCCATGGTCCATGGACACAACAATGATTTCCCTCGTGTTTTCATATTTTGATGTGGATGAAGAGGCGATCACACTCTTTAAATGAATCTCTCCATCTCTGAACTGATGAAAGGAAAACTACACTCAACCAATTAGTATTTTGTGTGTTTGCGTGTATGTGTGTGTGTTGGCCTTACTACAACTGGGTTATAGATAATAGCAAATAATGATCATCAATTATGTTAAGATTAGGCCTATTCCGAAAAAAAGAAAATGAGTTTAAACTCAACATCAAAATCTCAATTAATAGGACAAAAAATATGTTTGGAAGAAGAGGTGAAGAGATTTCAGATATAGGTGCAACTCTCCCTCTCTCTCTCTCTCACACACACACACTCAAGCTGAAGCAGAGACGCCCTGCAGTTTCTCTCTCTTGTTGGATCATCATTTACGGAAGCAGAGATCATTCCCACAGCGCTGATCCCACTTTCAATTCTCTGAAGAGGGAACAGCAGAGAGCTTTGAAAAACACACAAACACACGCTTACCCTGTTTATCACGATGATGCAGAACATAATAACAAGAAATTAAATTAAACAATATTTATATATATTTTAAGTCATTTATTTTATTTAAAGCAACAACAATGTTTTTATGGTTTAAGATTACTTTCAGGTAACTATAATTACCCAGACTGTTTTTTGTAGATAATTACAAATAATTATCGGCAATTATCTTCAGATCGTTCAAAAGAACGAAAATGGGTTTGCATTCAACATCAAAATCTTAATTATAGAAGAAAAATGTTTACAAGAAGAAGAGGTGATTTTCAGATGCAGGTGCAACTCTCTACCTCTCTCTCTCTCTCTCTCTCACACACACACACACACACACACACACACACACACACACACACACACACACACACACACACACACACACACACACACACTCTCTCTCTCTGTCTCTCTCTCACACACACACACACACACACTCTCTCTCTCTCTCTCTCTCTCTCTCTCTGTCTCTCTCACACACCACACACACACACACACTCTCTCTCTCTCTCTCTCTCTCTCTCTCTCTCTCTCTCTATTGAATTTAATTTAATTCAGAAGGATTTCTTGGCATGACGAAAATATGAATTTTGTATTGCCAAAGCATTAAAACAATAGAAAATTATTTAGAAACATGAACATTTGGTGAAGTTTATGTACATACAATAATAATAATAAAACTATTATATATATATATATATATATATATATACAAAAATGTACAAAAATAAGTGCAGATTCACAATGCAACACACACTCAGCAAAGCTTATACAGCAGCATTAGTGTAAATAGTCTTCATTTTCGTGTGTGTGTGTGTGTGAGAGAGAGAAACAGAGAGACACGTGTATATAATGTTCAATTTCTAAGTTCAGTTGTTTCATGATTTCTGTATTAGAATCTTTTTTTAATTGAATCAAAAAAAGAATAATAATAATATTAACAAAATAAATAGGGAACAATAATAAATAAGATTATAATACAGAAATCATGTAACAACAGAACTTAGAAATTGTATGTTACAGTATATACACACGTGTCTCTCTGTTTCTCTCTCACACACACTCGAAGATGAAGCCTATTTACACTAATAATGCTGCTGTATAAGCTGTGCTGAGTGTGTGTGTGTTGCATTGTGAATCTGCACTCATTGTTGTAATGCAGCAAAATGCAGCGGCACGTGAAATGAAATGGAGCTTGTGTGTCTGCAACCGTCGTGTTCATGTACTTCAGCCAACACTACAGTGTGTTCATGCACTGGTGAATTTTTAGATTAGAGGGTTGTTTCAGGCTCATAAAAAGAACATTGCACGTTTTATTGCATCTGTTTGTGACAGTAGATTCATTAAAAGCTGCTATCTATATCAACATCTATTTAAGCACATTTAAAAACAACACAAGTTGGCCAAAGTGTTGCACGTGTCTAAATATTACTCAACAAACATTAACACAAAACAAAGGCTCAGCATACAACACTGATCATCAGAGCTGCCACAGAAAATCCTTTGGTTTCAGCTGTGATTTGGGAACATGTAAGAGCAAACTCTGGGATGATCTTAGCGGTCGAGCGGAATAATGATGCAGAGCAAACCATCGTCAACTGCAGCCTCGATAGCAGCATTCTAGACTATAACCAGTTGCAATAATGCAATGTGGATTCAATAAAAGCATGAATGACAGTTTCCATGTCCTTAAAAGACATAGACATATACACTAGACGTCACCTTGGCTACGGCAGTTCATTGGAACGAATGCGTCAATAGAGCCGCCATCTTGAAACAGGGGAGCCCCTCCACTTTAATGCATCAGCGTCAATGTAGTAGACACAAATAAAATCACCATAAATCATCATGAATGCGATTTTTCTTGTTTTTTTGGTTTGTTCCAACGGTCAGACATGTATTTATCATTGATTCCAGAAAGAAAAAAAAAAAAAAAATTTTTTTTTTTTTAAAAAAACATACTTCCTAGTTCAGATTTCATCCGTGAACATCGTACGCTGCACAAAAGTCCGCCACCATCAATGAACTCAAAGTAAAGGCAGAGATAGCAGCGTTACCTAGCTACTTCCTATGACAAGACCCCTGTTCCAAGATGGCGGCGGTTTTGACGCATGCTTAGAACCCCAAGGTGAGGTCTAGTGTATATGTCTATGCTTAAAAGACACAATTCTCTCCGAATTTGGTGATGCTCCGCAACTGAACCACGGCATTGACTTGTTTGTCAAATTTTAGCAAGGTTCCTCGCTTGGGTGTTTAAGGGGTCACGATGTAAAGAAAGCTGTTTGGATAACCAACAATCACCACTTCAGATTGACTGATTGAGCTGCAGAAAATTACATTACATCTCATGGGCGCATATCCAGCCCGTTCTCATCTCAATACTGACGCTTTTGGCTTTTCGTCTACATCCAACGCACTTTAGCGTCAATATGAGACGCAGACATATACGGGCCAGAAGGCGCCTCCTAGTGGTCTACCCCAGACCTAAACCTACCATAACCGAACAAAGCTCTGAGCGTGTTATACTGACGCTAAACCAGGTAAAATGTATTTATTGGAAGTTCGCCATGTGCATTTGGGGCCCAAGCTAAGGGAAGAAAACATAACGGAGCATATATTTGCACTAAGTGCCTGTCTTTACAGCAAAAAGACGCCCGTCTTGAAACAGTGGCGTAGGTCGTAGGGCGTAAGTGTTTGAAAGCAGCTTTAGATGCGCTGAATCCGCCTTTTGCCGAACTCTCTCTTCTCCCTTTTCCCAACACAGATGTAAAGATGTAAAATGTAAAACCTAACATTAAGGTCTCTAGCGTTATATTTTGCCAACGAACTAAAATTGAAACCATGATATGGCGTTGCGCCATTATAATAACTGACATATAGCATCCAGTTTGTTCTGCGTCTCACGCGATCATCATGGTCTGGTGTTTTCTCCTAAATAAAAGCTCAAGGGTTTATTTCTTGCAAGTGAAGAAATTAGGACAAAAGTATTTTAATTTTCCTATACTATAGTGTAATGTAGGTTAAAATATACTTTTAGAAATACTCATTTGCATAGTACATGTATAGGCTATATATGGATTTTACAGTACGTCATAGGAATAATTATACATCATTATTACATTATTATAATAATTGTTTGGCATCCTAAAACACCATATGAGACTGAGACTCTCATAACTAAAAAGATGTTTGAGCCCTCTTTATTGTCCTGGTACAAATTAATGCTTTATCTTTGTTCAACGAGCAGTTCGTGGGTTGAAGCTCTTAATTGTGATCTCTCAGAGAGCACGAGACTGATGCATTTAACCTTAAAATGTACAACATTTTCTTGCGCCCCCCTAGAGGCACAGAGTCATCCCAACATAGTTTTAGAAATCACTATGGGAAAGAACGAGCATTTATGAACTTTACTCCAGCATACTAGTACAACAAAACTGTAAATGCTATCGGCTATTAATAATATTAATCGTGCCGGCGACGAGGGCCTACGAAATTTCCCGGTAGATTTTTTGGTCCCACTTCGCCCCAGCGCTAATGCGTTGGATTTAGACGAAATATTAATAGCGTCACTATATGATGAGAATGCGTTGGGATATCAATGGTAAGACACATTATATTTTTGTCAGATTAATCCCAGAGGGAGCGTATATACGGAAAATAAAACAGGACCAAGACATGAACCTCGAGGATCCCCTGAGAATACGAGACAGAGGAATAGAGCCCCCTAATCCCACTCCTCCATCAGTCAAGAAGCACTCCATGATCCACAGCTAAACACACACACACACACTCTCCCCAGAGTCTACAACAGCAGCACACCATGTCACTTTGAGAAGTTGAGACATAAACATTTCTGTTTCTGTTCATAAAAGCTGAGAGTTGATTAAGACTTCACTTAAATAACTTCTCTAAGGCTCTGATCCACCATAGACCCCATTAACAAACGTGCTGGGATGACGTCCAACGAACAATAAGATGTTGAATAACTTCTGGAAGATTAGATGTTCTCAAAAATGAGATTTGTCCTTCAGCAGCACGTATATATACACCAAAACTTACAGTTTTATTCATATCTATATTCTGAAGGATTTTACTGAGGGGTTTGTTCATAACATCATTCATCAGATTTTTGTTATAATTTTATTCCTAAAATTGATAAAAAGAGATATCAAAAAAAAAAACTTTATCTCTTTATCTCTTGACTTTATCCAATGTTCAGATTGTAGAAACGCATATTTTGTTAGATAATGCCTCATTTGCATTTTTTTAAATAAAACAATTTTTTTTTTTGTAAAACATAATGGTCTCAATAATCTGGGTAAATATGGTGATATCTATAACTTTTTTTACTCTATTCATCCGTGCTGTCTTTGATTGAGTGTGCACTCTTAGAAGAAAAGGTTCTATATAGAACCTTAAAAGGTTCTATCAGCGCTACATATTTGGAACCCCTAAAAGGTTCTATACACTCTTTAAAAAAGGGTTCCTCTGGGTTCTATATAGAACCCTGGGGTTCCATACTTGGCCAATAGAACCTTTTACCAAAAAAAAAAAAAAGGTTTTATATATGGTTTCCATATATGAAGCGGAGAATGGAACCATTTCTGGTTCTAAATAGAACCATTTCTTCTAAAAAAGAAGAGTGTTTATTAAAGTGTACTGGATGTTTAATCCAGCGTCTGACGGTCTAAATAACTTTCTCTCCTCCAGAATCAGGATAAATCTCTCGGCAGCAGGGCATGATGGGAATTTAAGACGACACTGATCTCAGTGTGTGTTCTCACAGCTTTATTACCCACAAGTCCTCTGGGACCGAGGTCAAGTTGTGTTATTTTACCATTTCAAATTAACCAAAAGAATAAAAGCAGGGGCACAATGAGACCTTTAACATTTAAATATACAGCAATGCCTCATAAATCCTGACGCTTAAAATATCAGAGAGAAGGCCAACACTTTACTGGAAACACGTCAATATAATGCATGATGTGGTCAAATGCCTTATAATAATATAGAGAGTATTTGAATATATATATATCTCTATATATATTATTTATAGTTTCACCTTTAAACCAAAATGTATATGCAATGTGAGAATTAATATCTTCATAATGCAATATCTCACTACAAGAAACATACATTTTACTACACCTGTTTGAAACACTCATTATGCATAATGGGGATTAATAAATTATGAAACTGAATTCCAATTTCCACATATATGATAAAATGTATGTTCATTAAATTAGCATATATATTACTCTCATGCATCAAACGGTGAATATTTCTGCCTGAACGACAAAACACGATGAGTTACTGTTCAAACGTTTCTAATTAACTTTAAAAACAGAACGTTTTTATGATGAGATGATGTTTGTGAACCGCTTCGAGCTTGTCTGATTGGTCTGATTAATCCGAGCATGTGAAACATGCCGTGACTCTCGGATGATAGATGAACGTGAGCTGAGACGTCAGGATTTACTGTCCGTCTGTGGGATCATTAGAAACGCTGTGAGTTTGGTCAAAGGTTTTCACTTCTGAAGCACAACATGAGAGACGTGAGAAACACATTCATTCAAAGTCTCATTTTTAACTCTCTTTCTTGGCGAGCACTTTGTCAAAGAGACGTTTTTAAATCATGATTCACACTAAATTTAATATAAAACTCATCCGATACTAAAAGCCAGAGGGTCCCGTAAACATCCCATTGTCTCTGCGTCTGTCATCAGGCTGCAAAAAGACATAATAATTTCATTTCAAATGAATGCTTTTATTAGACAATCCAATTATTTATAGACAATTATTATTATTCGATATACAAGGTTTACGAAATTCACAATATTAAAGGTAAAAATGTACAAACAAAATGTAAAAAAATGTAATTTATAAATATATTTTAAGTAAGTAGTATGTTTCTTCCATGTCAATCTTGAATGTTTTTTTTATATATATATATATATATAATAGTTTTTTTTTATTGCTAATTGCACAACACAGGAGAGGGAATAACCTACAACATAACACAAAACCATCAGTAGTACAATACTGAAACTAAAAATGAATATGCAAATTGCAAACTAATAAATATCAGATTTTTTTTTTCAAATATCAATTTTTTTAAAATATTTAATGTGAATAAAAAATTATTAAACACTATTTAGTGATTAGCAGCGACAGTTAAGGTTAGTTAATTAATATGTTACAGCTACTTAATAATGACCAGTGTTATTTTACTATAACTGAGATACTCTTATAGCATTTATTCATATTTTGAGTTATTTTGTATTTTTATAATTTCCATTTTAATTAAATTTTAGTAAAAGTTGTACTAATTTTGTTTGTCATTGTTATTCAAATATTTTAATGTAGTATTAATTAAAATGAAATTGAGTTATTTTAGTAAATCCAGTTAAACTATATAAAATTGAGAAAACATTTGTATGCAACTTGCTTTTTTTAAATTATTGTACTTAAGGTAATATATTTAATGTTTTTAGTTGTATTTAACTATAATAACCTTAATAATGACCCATAGTTTAATGACATCCGAAGGAAACTCTTGACTCGTTAACACAAGAACATGTTGGCACTGTTTTCTCAAACACTTCCAACTACACGAGTGTAATGGTTCTGGCTTTAACAGCGAAATGTAACTAAACGGAAGAAGAAAAAAAACCTAGAATAAATTATTTCCACAAGACTCAAGTGGCCATTTAGTTGAAGCAGGTCAGAAAACGAAGCTGATCTGAGAACAGCACTCACAATTAAAGGGCGTAGGGTTGCCAGATTCCCTGCTGCAGAAAATCCTTCATAAGAGGAGGATTAACAGTGTTTGCGGAGAGAGAGAGAGTGAGGGGGAGTCCGGCAGACGAGGAGAGAAATAAAGGATGAAACGGACAACAAGATGAAAGGGTGGAAGAGGGAATTGCAAGACACGTGCAAATAAAGCAGTGAGTGGACGATTACGACCGCTGAGATGATGAAAACCAGCAAAGATGTTGAACATTTGTCTTGCACTTGATGCGTAATGCAGCAGTGTAAATGTGTGTGTGTGTGTGAGAGAGGTTCATTATTAAGTGCAGCTGAGTTCATTAACCTTTTCTAACTCATTTACATTACAGAAATGTCAAGGGAAAGACAAAACAACCACAGACAATCACAACACCTGTGACCACACACAGGACAGTCTCTATTTTCCCTTTATCCTCTAAAATGACCAAGTAAAATGACAAGAACATGGAAATGTGCTTGTGTGTAATTGCTCAGAAAAACATAGTTTTTTCATCAGAATCACACTTCACGTCTATAGTCTGTGACTTACAGCTGCTCCAATCATGTGCAACATTTCTCATGAAACACCTGACAACAGCATGTATTTTTATACCCTAACGAACAGAGAAGAATGAGACACACAGACAGAGAGAGAGAGAGAGAGAGCGTGCTAATCACAGATTCTTGTGCCTACACAACCCACACACTCAGATGAGAATAATACACACACACAAGCACAGAGCAAACAAGCCTAGTTTACATGCATGGTACATATTCAAATTTTAGTTTAGCTTTAGCTTTAGTTTAGTTGTTTAAGATTTGTTTGTTAGATTTTTAAAATATAAATATATATAATAATATGATGAAAACAATCACTAACTTGACACATATATGTTCAGAGTCTGTGATTTTCTCACTCGTTTTATACATCCGCATTTATTCTGTTCTAGCGGTGTAGCTTCACTCATGTTGGTGTTTGTAAGTTGTTTGCTGCGGCCGGTCGGTGTTCAGAGGTTCTGGTTGTTATTCCAACAGCACTGCCTCCCCAGTCGCCATAGAAACACTGGAGACACATGCACTGTAGAATACAGCCAGACCAAATACAGCCACAACAGAGACATCATTCTTGTACAGCCTGACTACTGACATGATCAACTACAGTCGCACTACTGACATGATAAACTACAGTCGCACTACTGACATGATATACTACAGTCGCACTACTGACATGATAAACTACAGTCGCACTACTGACATGATAAACTACAGTCGCACTACTGACATGATATACTACAGTCGCACTACTGACATGATAAACTACAGTCGCACTACTGACATGATAAACTACAGTCGCACTACTGACATGATATACTACAGTCGCACTACTGACATGATATACGACAGTCGCACTACTGACATGATTAACTACATTCGCACTACTGACATGATATACTACAGTCGCACTACAGACATGATCAACTACAGTCGCACTACAGACATGATAAACTACAGTCGCACTACTGACATGATAAACTACAGTTGCACTACTGACATGATATACTACAGTCGCACTACTGACATGACAAGCTACAGTTGCACTACTGACATGATCAACTACAGTCGCACTACTGACATGATATACGACAGTCGCACTACTGACATGATTAACTACATTCGCACTACTGACATCATATACTACAGTCGCACTACAGACATGATCAACTACAGTCGCACTACAGACATGATAAACTACAGTCGCACTACTGACATGATAAACTACAGTTGCACTACTGACATGATATACTACAGTCGCACTACTGACATGACAAACTACAGTTGCACTACTGACATGATCAACTACAGTCGCACTACTGACATGATATACGACAGTCGCACTACTGACATGATTAACTACATTCGCACTACTGACATGATATACTACAGTCGCACTACTGACATGATAAACTACAGTCGCACTACTGACATGATAAACTACAGTCGCACTACTGACATGATATACTACAGTCGCACTACTGACATGATATACGACAGTCGCACTACTGACATGATTAACTACATTCGCACTACTGACATGATATACTACAGTCGCACTACAGACATGATCAACTACAGTCGCACTACAGACATGATAAACTACAGTCGCACTACTGACATGATAAACTACAGTCACACTGCTGACATGATAAACTACAGTCACACTACTGACATGATATACTACAGTCGCACTACTGACATGATAAACTACAGTCGCACTACTGACATGATATACTACAGTCACACTACTGACATGATAAACTACAGTCGCACTACTGACATGATAAACTACAGTCGCACTACTGACATGATAAACTACAGTCGCACTACTGACATGATAAACTACAGTCACACTACTGACATGATAAACTACAGTCGCACTACTGACATGATATACGACAGTCGCACTACTGACATGATTAACTACATTCGCACTACTGACATGATATACTACAGTCGCACTACTGACATGATATACTACAGTCGCACTACTGACATGATAAACTACAGTCACACTACTGACATGATAAACTACAGTCACACTACTGACATGATATACTACAGTCGCACTACTGACATGATATACTACAGTCACACTACTGACATGATATACTACAGTCGCACTACTGACATGATAAACTACAGTCGCACTACTGACATGATATACTACAGTCACACTACTGACATGATCAACTACAGTCGCACTACTGACATGATATACTACAGTCGCACTACTGACATGATATACTACAGTCGCACTACTGACATGATAAACTACAGTCGCACTACTGACATGATAAACTACAGTCACACTACTGACATGATAAACTACAGTCACACTACTGACATGATATACTACAGTCGCACTACTGACATGATATACTACAGTCGCACTACTGACATTATAAACTACAGTCGCACTACTGACATGATAAACTACAGTCACACTACTGACATAATAAACTACAGTCACACTACTGACATGATATACTACAGTCGCACTACTGACATGATATACTACAGTCACACTACTGACATGATATACTACAGTCGCACATGAAAAACTACAGTCACTTTGAAACACAAATAATACCCTCATAAGTAACTTTAATCTATATCCTTTAGTCTGAAGGACACACAGACTGAGATAAACACTCTAAGAGATGATAAACACACCAGTATAAAGACAAACTAATATTACAATTTAAATTAAAGCCAACTGAAACCAATTTTGGATTAAAATAAGCAAGAAACACAGAGATTAAAAAACATAGAAGCATTTCTCCATCTGACTCTCTTCATCACAAACTCACAAAGGGTCACAGACTGACATTTGCTTTCATTTAAAATGTACATATACACTTGTGTGAGTGTGTGTGTGTGTCATCATTTTAAAAAACACACAAGACAGAGTGACACTTCCATTAAACACACAAACACACCCGTCTTCATCCGTCACTGTGTCTGATGTTACAAACACTCTGATGTATGTGTGTGTGCGTGTGTGTGTGTGTGTGTGCGTGTGTGAGAGAAAGAGTCAGTTAGTGTGTGTGTGTGCGTGAGTGAGTGTGTGAGAGAGATTCAATGCATATGTGTGTGTGTGTGTGTTTAACTTCAGGTTCATGCAGTCCATAAAAGAACGAAAACGAACTATTGAAACGCTCCATAAGTTTGTGCATCTGCCCTGGTGTGAAAATAGCGTTTCGAGGCGGGAATATAATGTGTAGTTGCCATGGCGATGAAGGACATGACGTGTGTGTGTGTCTGTGTGTGTGTGTGTGACAGGACCTTCACCTCTCATTAGAGAACACAGAACAAACGCTAATTAACGAAACGAGTGAGAAAACAACAGATCCTGACAGCAGAACAGACAAAAACACTCAGAAAAATAAATAATTGGATTTTACATGTTTTTCTTTCATTTCTCAGAGAATTCTGAGAGAAAAAGTGCAGCGGAGTGAAAAGATAAAGAGAGAGAGAGAGAGAGAGAGAGAGCATGGGGAGACAGAGAAAGGATATTTCAATTAAGTTCAACAGCGTATCTAAATTGTTCTGGAGTGACGGGGCAGAATTCAATCTCTGATAAATGAGAGAGCAGACGTGAAGCGAATGAGAACGGACGAAACAGACAAAAGACGAGACAATCAGATTCAGAAAACTCTGACGGACAGAAATCAGATACAAAGAGCGTCTTCTGCTCACCAAAGCTGCATTTACTCAATCAAACACACATTCCTCCAGTGAAAATCATCTGTTCTCTATGTGAATATACAGGAAAGTGTAATTTATTCCTGAACTTATCATCATTACTCCAGTCTTCAGTGTCACATGATCCTTCACAAATGAGGAAGAATCATTTGATTATCATCAGTGTTGAAAACATCTACATACATATTAGATAAAGGCAATAATCCATGCCGGTATGCCAGAAAATCCGAAGTCAAGAATTGACCAAACGGGAAGCACATCTCAGTGAGAGCCTTCATTCAGAAGTGTGTAAAACCTCCTACAAGAACATCAACACACACACATAACTCATCATAAGTCATAACTCGGACAGAATAGAGCAAATATTCCCTGAAGGCAGAATCAATATCTGGAAGAATCTGAAGACTCACTCATAACACCGTAAAGCCCAAGAGCTGAGCAAAGAAACCAGTCCTGCTCATCTTTTTATTCTTCTACATCAACCTTTCATTTCACTTCATGTTGCTCTAATGTTATTGAATGCAGATTTTGAATGCAGCCACTGCAGAACAAATACACAGTTTTATTTAGACATGCCAGTAAAGTACACTTGAGAGAGAGACAGAGAGAGAGAGAGAGAGAGAGAGTGTGTGTGTGTGTGTGTGTGTGTGTGTGTGGGTGGTTACATTTTTTTTCTTTCTGTGCCTTTTCATCACTATGAAATGGAAGAATTTTTGTGTTGATTGTGTAAAAGTGTACATGATAAACTACAGACATACACACACATTCGCGCACTCACTAACTCATTCACATACACACACACACACACACGGTTCTTCTGGATCCTAAACAAAAAAGACCATCATCATATATTTTACAAAAACAAAACTGTATAGCACAATAAAGATTTCAAGGACAAAAACCAGTGTGTGTGTGTGTGTGTGTGTAAGGTCATCTTCATTGACTTCTAGCTTTTAAGGTAATTGGAAGTACAAACACACACACACACACACACACACACAGAGAGAGAGAGAGAGAGAGACAAACTGCATATGTCTGAAGACTGATATTCATCACTGAGAACAAAAACAAAGCTGAGAAAACATCTTTTGACTGGGATAATGGATGGCCTGTGTGTGTGTGCGTGGTGTGTGTGTGTGTGTGTGTGTGTGTGTGTGTGTGTGTGTGTGTGTACCTGAGGCTTAAAGTGACCTTGCTGTATTCTTATGAAAATACATAGTCTGGCAAACAAACAAACACACAAGCAAGCAGTGTTTCT